TGGGACAAAATATTTAATCTAAATTGCATATCTGGAAGAGAAAACTTGTATATATAAGAAACCTGGAGTCACGGTGAAACCATGAAGAAAATCCATGGGAGGATCATCTGCATAACCTTTCAGTTCTGAAAAGTGACATGAGTTTAAAACAGAGATCACCTTTGATGTGTTGTTGCTTTCCCCGTTCTGCCATAATTCTGAACAAAATCTCTCCTCCAGATTTTTAGTCTATAATTTTTTGTTTGTTTTCCCAAGCTCTGCAACAGCTACATAAGCTTATAAAACGGGGGATTCCAGTGACAGAAGACAAGTATACACACTTCAGTGTGCTCAGTAAAAGGATATTCATTCCTGCCATTTGACTCCTGCAGTAAATGAAGGCTGACTTATTTCCAACCCCTCAGTTTTCCAAGCCTATTTAGAAATGCAGATTCTTCTTAACCCGAGGTGAGTCATCACTGTACTGGAAAGCCAAGTTTCCAAGCTTTCCACATGGCCTGCAAAAAAAAAATATAGCTACCATGCTGGCTATAACAGTTGAAAGGGACAGTGGACACCACCAAACAGATCGGAAGGACCACTCTTCCAGGAAGTTTTTTCCACAGCACAAGTACAACAGTTTATATAGCTTTATATAGCAGAATATAGCAGTATTTGCATCCACAGCTTTGGAAAGGAGAGAAAGCTTTGCTTAGTATCTCCTTTCCATATTATTGCACTAATATAGGAGGGCTTTTTACAGCAGCTGAAACCGTGACCAGCAAAACCTTACATGGCCAACAGGCTTATGGCTCTCCTCTCCCTTGGACTGCTAACTAGATACAGACCTGTCACTCCCCTGACAGAGAACGTATGATCCCCTCCACGGCAGTACACACTGCTGCTCCATGAGAAAGAAGGGAGCGGGTTGGGATGGAGTGACACTGGCGTATCTCCTCGCCATGCATACTCAGCTTAATGTCATACCCACCTGCTCTCTAGCAGCTGAGAGAACGGGAGCTTCAAACACAGCAGGCCATGAAATAAGACGGATAAAAAAAAAAACAAAATGCCAATCCCTTTAGCATCTCAACCATTTGCAAAGTGAATACCCTGCTTTTCTGACTGGATTCCTGTGATACACAGATAATTCTGTTTTATATTATCTCTTGGTTTTAATCTCTTTTTTTTTAATGTTGTATATTAGGATAATCAGACTCCATGTTATCATATGCTTGATATATATATTTTAATGAATTCTTACACTTCCAACTTATAATCAACAATCTCTAAATGTTAGTGTGAATACATGTTAGTAAAATAAATTATTCACTACTGCATATTCTTGTGTTCTGTATGAATATAAACCTGATACTTCTCAACTCATAACCACCAAGTCCTAAGGAGGCAGTGCTAACACAGCAGGAGGGGTTGGATTTCTGCTTTCTAAGGACAGAGATCCCACAGACTTGCTTTGTAAATAAACAGACACAGGAAGAGGTCATTGGTTCATACAGGGGAGCAGAACAGAGGAAAATCACACAAAAAAAAATCTTCACCCTTGTACTGAAAGCTGGAAAGGGCATCTTCTGGCAAAGCAATTTCTATTTCAAATATTTCTATTTCAAATTTCTATTTCAAATACTCACTGTATTTTTTCCCTGAAAAAGTGTTTCTGTATATCAGTGATTCTATGTATCAACACGCCTCCCCTATTTCACAAAACAAGACCCCAGCCCACCCTTTTCAACCTTCTCAGATGCTAGATTCCTGTGTTTCTTCATGTTGAACCTATTCCTTTCCTGCTCCCCAATATGCAAAAGTGGTGTTAGGCACCCGGATCCTTCCCACAGCTCTGGTTCAGAGATCCCTAGTTGGCTGCCTGCTGCCCTGCAAAGAGCTGCAGCAAGTCCCACATTGTGCTGAAAGCTCGGCCACCTTGGCCTCCCTGTCAGCACGAGCTGCTCGCAGCACCGGGGCCACCGGAGCAGGACAGACGGCTGCAGTGGTTATCAACCAACATGGCTGTGAGTGGATGGAGTCTACAGAATGAAGAGTCCTGTCCCTACGGGCAACAAACAAGACACCTTCTTTGTTCATGATTTCCCAAAGGCACTTTTAACCATCCATTCCTCCCTGCCAAGAAACCATCTTTCTCCTTTGTGAGGGAGTGCTCCCTCAGCAAGTGTGCTGATGGTATGAAACTGGAAGGAGTAGCTGATAGCCCTGAGGGCTGTGCTGCCATCCGGGGCGACCTGGACTGATTGGACAACTGAGCGGTGAGAAATCTCATGAAGTTCAACAAGGGCAAGTGCAGGGTCCTGCACTTGGGAAGGAATAACCCCTGACACCAGTATGAATTAGGGGTGGACCAGCTGGAGAGCAGCCCCGCAGAGAGGGACCTGGGTGTCATGGTGGACGACAAGTTGACCATGAGGCAGCAGTGTGCCCTGGTGGCCAAGAAGGCCAACGGGATCCTGGGATGCATTAAGAAGAAGAGCGTCTCCAGCAGGTTGAGGGAGGTGATCGTCCCCCTATACACAGCCCTGGTGAGGCCACATCTGGAGACTGTGTCCAGTTCTGGGCTCCCCAGGACAAGAGGGATGTGGAGCTGCTGGAGAGAGTCCAGCGCAGGGCTACGAGGATAATCAGGGGCCTGGAACATCTGCCCTATGAGGAAAGGCTGAGGGAGCTGGGCCTGTTCAGCCTGGAGAAGAGAAGGCTGAGGGGGTACCTGATCAGTGTCTATAAATACCTCAAGGGAGGCAGTGAGGAGGAGGGGGCGGCCTCTTTGCAGTGGTGGCCAGCGATAGGACTAGAGGAAACGGCCAGAAACTGAAGCACCAAAAGTTCCACAGGAACTTAAGGAAACATTTCTTGACAGTGAGGGTGACAGAGACACTGGCAGAGGCTGCCCAGAGAGGTTGTGGAGTCTGCTTCTCTGGAGATCTTCAAAACCTGCTTGGGTACAATCCTGTGCCACATGCTGTAGGTGATCCTGCATGTGCTGGAAGGTTGGACTAGATATCTCTAAAGGCCCCTTCCAACCTTAAAGATCATGTGATTCTATGATTGTTTCTTTTCTTGGGCTTTAGTCACGAGTCTTTTTTACCGTGCACTCCTACTTCAGTCCTTTTCACTTCATGCTCATCCACCACCATCACCAAGCAGCCCTGTTTTGGCTACAAATTGCTCTCCTAAAACCTATTTCTTGTCTCAGCTTCAGCTTTCATCAGGCCTTGCTATGCTTGTCACACAAAGCAGCCAGGAGACGTGAACATGGGATATTCTTATTTGCAAGACATGTAGCTGATGTGCCAGCAGCTTTAGGAAGATCAAGCAATATTTGCAAATCAAACCCAACAGCCACCTGCACTCTTTGGTACATCAGTACGCAAATGGACATCACTTGGTGCTGTGTTGCACATCCAAAGCAAAAATCCTTTCCTGCAGTAATATTTCTATGAATTTCTCATAGACTGATATAGAGAAATCTGGAGCAAACTCCAGCAAGGAGTTTCCCCAGCCACCTTCCCGTCCGTATCGGTGCATGTTTCGATGTCCACAGGCGCTGGTGCTCATCACCGCCACGTTCCTGTACCAGCCCTTTTCTGTATTAGCTCAGCACATGCACAACAGCCAAATTCTGCCTTAGATAAATATATACGACCCCTTTCATTTCATCAAAGACTTAAGAAAGTACATGAGTGTTTAACAGCAGAATTTGGGATTCAAAAAGAATTATTATAATGCAGCTGCAAGAGAGAATATTAGCTGCAAGAGAGACTGCTCTTAGAGACAGGCAAACTGCACAGGTCATCGTGTACCAGCAATGGATGCTGATTTTTTTTTATTTTTTATTTATTTTTTATTTTTATTTTTGAAATGGGAGTAAATTTCAAGGAGAGAAAAAAAAGTGGGAAACTTTCACTGGTAATTTGTAACATGCTGTCACCAGATTTCAGGTATGTCTATACTAATGACCAAATTACTAAGGACCAAAACCGAAGTATTTCCTTCAGAAGGGAAACAAGCCTGATATCAAATTAAGAGATTTCATAAATACTTTGAACATTTAGCATACAGATCACACATTTAAAACAAAAATTCTCTTTTTTTTTTTAAATCAGCCTAAGATTTTATCTTTAAGGCTCCTAACCGAAAACTACTATCACATTAACTAGCAGCAGTATACTATTTTATCTAACAGTTTTATTTTAGAATAGAATTTAGAATAGAGTCCTATAAGGGTTACTTTTTTCATATAAAACCAGCATAATTTCACTAAAATAGGCTGAGGTGACTTATACTGAGGAATTTTTCACTCTGTAGCTGATGGAGTAATATTTTATTCCTCAGGAGAAAAAAAAGCAGAGGATGGTAGCTTTTTTTTTTTTAATATTTGCATAGAGTTTTTTTTATTCTGACTTGTAAAAAATGTGAATTTAGTGGAATTTAAAACAGTCCCTTATTTTTTTGATCCATTGATCAGTATTTTACTTCCGTGTTGCATCTTCAGACTCTCAGTTTCCTGAGAAAGCCTCTACTCAGTGCAAAGTACGGCTGTATAATTCCTGTTTTTCACAGAATAGGCTTCAGCATTTGGGCTCAGAGCGAGACCATTTGGGGGAGCCTGGGGAAGGGGTCAGTTTGCACAACAAACTTCCTTCAAGTTCCTTAAGGCAATCTGCAAAGTAAAAAAGAACATATGCAGCATCACATCCTTAGTAATTGCCCTCAGGCCGAATGATCTCGTTTAGTTATTTTTCACAAGGATCATCTCCATAATAGAAGCTTGCCAAAACTCTCAGGAAACAGAAAAAAAGTAAAATAGCACTGTGACAAATATGTCACCTGAGTCAGGAAAACAGTAAGAAGGTTACTGACAAAATTACTCTTTCAGTCAGGGATCTACAGGGATGGAAGTATTTAGTCCTTATTTTCCAGGTATATTAAAGACCAAAACAAAAGTTGAGTTTGTTATCTGTTTTATTTTTCAAGAAAGGAAATTTGACTGTCTGTGATTAATGCATATTTCAGGTAAAAAGGCAAATATCATCTACATCCATTTTATCTCAGTATAAATTCAATAATAAGGGCTTTGTATTGGGTCCTTGTGAGTCCTGTGGATAGCAGACACTACTGAGCAGTGTAACAAATAGAACCAAGTATCTACTTTCTGTCCCTGTGAGGCAAAAATAAAAAAAGCTAAACTAGAAATTTGTCTCTGTGGCATATAATACTGTTTACACCTTAACATACACCATCACTTCCTAATATTCAGAAGTGTCTCACATATAGCAGATAGAGCAGAGATTTCTTTCTCTCATATGAAGAAAGGTAGAGAGCTGGACTGGTTTAACCTTGTAAAGAAAACACTTGTGTTTAGGGGGTTATCCCTATGTATAAATACCTGACGGAGGGAGGGAGGGGAAGAGTAAAGAAGACGGACTACAAGATGCATTTCAGTGGTATCCAGTGAAAGGATCAGACACAAATGGCACAAACCAAAATACAGGAAACTCTGTTTGACCACATTAAAACTCTTTACTGTGAGGATGATTGGACACTGTTATAGGTTGCTCACAGAGGCTGCAGAGAGGCTCCAATCTTGGAGATACCAAAGCGTGACAGGACGTGGCCCCGAGCAACCTGCTGTAGCTGAATCTGCCTGAACACGGACTCTGGATCAGAGACATCTGGAGGCCCCTTCCAGCCTCGGTGGTTCTGTGGTATAAAAGGCCACCACTGAGTATTTATTTTAGCAAAGTTCTCCAAGTGCCAAAACTTCCCTCTAGACCCCTCTTCCTTATTTGAGCTCCGCAGGCTGGTGAGCTAATAATTAGCTTTGCTGTCTAGCATTTTGTGTATATTCAGTACTAACCCTTGACAAATTTAATTAAAGATGTCCACAAGAGCCTTAGGATAGGATGAATTGGTGTTTTCCATTACAAGGTAACAGTTTTATGCCCGTCTAAATATTTTAACACTCTCTTAGTAGTTCAGGTATTTCCTTTCTTCCCTTCTTCAAACCTTCAGCTCTCAGGACATGGCAAGAAAGAATCCACACTAGAAAACATATACAAGTGCATTCATCCTAAGAGCTTTTAGAAAAGAAAGGTAGATTACATCCAGCTGGTGATTTCAGCTGTCTCCATGGGATTTTTAATATGGGCACAACTGAACAGTACTCATGGCAAGTGGGAAATCACAGAAAGGACAGTGAAGCTGTTCAAGAAATGACAAGAAAGCCCTCAAAGTTACCTCTTAATGCATTTAATTTATTTTGCCACGTTCCAAGACTATGGTACTAGTGTGAGGTATGGATAGTTACAGGATTTACACTATTCTCCAGTTGGATCAAGTAAAAACGATTTACAAAATATTAGGAAAAACAATAACAAAAAATATAAACGATATTTTTTTCCAGTCGCATACAATCTGCAAATCCAAAATACTGACACCTCTTAAAATCAGTCCTAGGAAAAGTTCATGATTGCTCTTTGAAAACATGGATATTCCAGTTCTAGGAGGAGAACATGCAGGAACCTCCCATGCCAAACTGCTACTTGACCTTTGCTGCCTGAAGGGTAAACTGCATCCATGATGCTTGCACAGAGGTGACCTAGGTAACACTGTTAGGACTTGTCACTGGGAGGTTTCTTCTTGGCTTCCACATCCTTCTTAAAGTCTTCAAGCTTCTTGGCAATGTTAGGAATCTTTAATGAAAAAAAAACCAAATCAGCAAACAAAAAAATAAAGATACATGAACTGATGAGCTTCAGCATGCAAGATGCTTCCAGGATCTGTTACCTTGCACAAATGTTAAAAACAGAGTAACACTAAGAAAACAGCAGAGGAAAGAACCTCACAGGAGGTTTGGGGAAACACTTTGGTCTAGGCAGATGTTTAAGACTAAGTCAAGTCACTGTTGCCAGGATCACAAGTGAGGAAAACTCATGACTCCCAGATAAAACCGGGAAGTGGTAGCACTGGATTTTATAAGCTACCTGATTAAATGACAGGGAAAAAAATCGCAAGTTCTCATTGGTATTTGTGAAGAAAATCATGGAATTCTTATGGTCAGGTGCACCTCACCTGATAGCAAAAGGAAAGTAAATTCAAAAGATGAGTAAATCCAAAAGACTGCAGTCCTCTGATGGGAGGGTTTGATATTGATAGTATAGGAAATACCAGAAGTTTCTTCTGACCCCTTCCCAAGGAAAAGGGAAACTTTTCTTCTTTTGAGAAAGTGAAATTAAGAACCTAGCCTATGACATATCTCACATTCAAATTAAACCAAGAGAAGTCCACTGCTGTGAACAGAATTCTTCATGTACTTATAGTTAAGCCTATAGTTGAAGAAGTAGGACCTAACTATGGTAATTCATCTTAAATAACATTTCATCTTTGATACCAAGAATGAAAATACCAGGTTCATACTGCAGTCCAGTACTACACTACTAGAGAAACATTTCCTCCAAATCAAAGACAGAAGTCCCCCTCTTGTGGCAGTACGTTATTAGTGCTACTACTACACATGCATTGACACACCTGAAGAGGTTTGTACAATTATATTTTCATAACTTTTACACTCTTGGAAACAGACAATAGAACTACTGTTAATCCTGTTGCTGGAGTGACTAGACAAGAGGCATCACAGAAGTTCACAAGTGTGCAAGGAGGAAAAATACGAAATCTACCATCAAGAAGACTTTAATGCCCAAGATGAGAGGTGAGGATAACAAAAATAGTATTTGAGATAAAGCTGCACTGACATTTTTTAATTTTATTTATACTACCCTAAATTAAAAAATGACAGAAAGAAGTGTATGCTATGTTTCACTAACTTGCCAAGCCTGTAAACAGCTAAGTGGCACTGCTCTGGGATTTGGATTTCTGTGACACTACAGAACTTACAAACTTGCATAGAAGACAGCTTCAAAGCATCAGAGTCAACTCTAGCTCTCACTAGAAAAAGTCTCAGTCCAAAAAGAAAAGATTGCAGGTCAATATAATGTTCCCAGCAGGCAGCAGAGACTGAGTTCTCCCATTGCAGTGGCAAAACTCGTTTTTATCACTGGTACAGTAGCCAGAAATTTCAGATGCCTTGAAAGGTTTTTAACTAGCAAATGGATGTTCTTACCATCCATTTGGGTATCACTGTAAGCAGACAGGATATGGGAATTAACAAATCAATATTTTAATGATGGTGCAATCCATGGACAGCTGCCAGAAAAACTCCACTTTTCCTCTATCTTTCTCTACAACTTTTTTACTCACGGACTGCACTATGTAGAAGCTTGGTTACACTATTGCACTCCAAGACTGCAGTATCAGTTGAAGACCCAAGTTGAAGACCGTTACTGCAGAGGCAAGTACAGTAAATAAAAAAAGTCAAACACGTAAAGGTTTGGGCTTTCAACTGTAACTAAAGTTAGTACAATTTTAACTAAATCCAAAAAAGACTAACTCGATTCTGACTAAGGAAAAACAGCCTTGCATTTTCATTCAGATTAAGTTCAGTTCCCAAATTACAAGGATACTTACATCATAATTCTGAGCTAGATACATTCCAACCACATTGCCAAGAGTGAAGCCAACCTAAAAAGGAATAAAAAAATAGTTAACATTTTCACCAAAAGCATTCTGATTAAAGCTGAATAATTAAGGAGCAAGTCATGGGAAAACTCAGGAGTTTCAACCCTAGTTATACTTGATTTTGCACCTTTTCTCCTAAAGAGCGATACATTTTGCTTTACACCATGATGAAGACCTTACCATCATTTCCAAAATACAACACAGTTGTGGTTTCAGTATTATCTCCAAATATTTAGATGAGGCCATGATCATCTTTGCCTGCTTAGAGAAATTCTTGTCTTAAGAGAATTTCTTAGAGAAATTCTTCAAGTGTCATGCTGCTTTGGGAGCAAAAGAAATTCCTCTTTTCAAGGACAAGTGATGTGATTTTTACTCAGCAGTTCCCCAAAACCCTAAATCTTATTTTTACCATTATGTTCTTGAGTACAAAATGAAACTATGAGGCAATGAGCAAATGAGCTATGCAAAATCATTCAACTGTTTTAGAAGGGGAGAATACAAACACTATGCCTTCATTCATTTTCCTGGACAAATCACTCCATACAGTAGCCAAGGCCAATTCTAAGAAAACTGTGGTCACTTATGGTAAAGTAAGAATATTTTATTTAAAAAGTAAATAAATAAAAATCACTGTCCACAATAAGAACTTTGCAACTAGACATCTTTTGCTTGCCTAAAGCAGAACAGCTCACCCTTTCAGTGACTCAGACTCCATGAGTATCACTGGTTAATGTGTTCATCTGATAATTATAGAAAATACATATTGGTTGAACTCTGCCACAGGACTGCAACTGCAAGCAGTGGGGAACTCGCTTGCAAAGACAGATCAACTCCTTGTTTACCAGTGGTTTTCTAGGCTTTCCCCCCCCTCCCCGGATAAATTCCATTTCCAAAGAAAGGATAACTTCTTACACAGCAACGTTACAAACCTTAGTGTGTACAGGCAGCGGGCTAACACTAGCGCTCCCTTTGAATACACCCCTTTATGGAGAAGTCTAGGACTCTGTTCAAGTTCAGCTGACAATTCAAGAAGACAGAAAAATCTCACTGCTTAGATCTCAATTATTTAGATAACAGAAAATATACTCAATTAAAATGTGCAAGTTAATTATGGAAAACAAGGGCTGATGGGAGTTCAGGCTTTTTCAATTGCTACTTAGCATTTCAAGATCCATTTTAACATAAGTGTTTAACTCTGGACAGCAAAAAATACAAGGTTTGCAAGATTATCCCTTTATCTCTCTGCTGCAGCCCAAACAAGGGAGAGCAAGAGTCTACACCCAAAGGCAAAGAACACCCAGACTCAATAAGCCCTTTTTACAACTCTGAGATATTAAACAAGTAGTCTTAATTAAGTGATTTCATGTCATAATTGTAACCAAATTCTACTTAGGTGCAAGCCACTGAGTTGAGAAATTCATGGAAACTTTGACAGTGACTAAGCGTTTTCAGTGGCACAGAAGGAGATTATAAAAGCTACAGAAGAGACTGAGACTTCGACATTCATTTATTATTGCATTTTAAGCTGGGATAACAAAGTGGGATTTAATTACTAATTTTACAAAAATATGGAAGTCTCTTCCAACTTACAATAGCCCATCTCACCTGTCTGCTTGCCAACATTTAATATGAAATATTGGCTAGCTAACTTATTTTCCCCTCAACAAAAAATGTAGATTATAGGCGAGCACATACTGCTTGTACGTGCAAGTCGATTGAAAAATGGGAGACTGATGCCATGCTTTGCTAGAACACAAAGCAGGATCATTTCTGTCAGGTAATTTACTTCACATATCATTATTTAATTAGAGCAGCCAGGCATCTAACTTCAAAGATCCAGATGAGTAAGTTTATGGGAAAATACAAAAAGTAAAAATGAGAAAAAGTATAAAAACCTTTCCCATACTAATTTTCAGCACAATGGTTGGCAAAGAGATTTCAAGGGGTTTATTAAAGGCAGTAATGAAACATTATTACTTGTCTTAACTTATATCTACACCTATACATATATACATATACACAGACACATGTGTGTTTATATATATAATATATATATTTTTCTGATCTCGGGTGAAAAATTTTACAGGTGTGGAAAACAGAAAAGGCTGAATCCATGACTCTTACAAAAGGAGGCAGGCACACTGAATTTATATTTATTAGGCAAGGTGATGAGGGCGTTAGCCTGAACAATTAAGATACACTGAGTTTTAAAGACACATTAAGGGAAGAACCTGGAGGGAGGGGGAAAAAAAAAAAAAAAAAAAAAAAAAAGGCAGAAACTTCCTATTTTCAGAGTACTCAAAAGATGACTTTTCCTGCCACGAGTAGAACCACACAGCAGTAGAACCACACAACAAGGTAGCTGCTGAGGGCTGAAGACACCCTTAAAGGAAAATCAGATACAAAAGCCGCGAGGCAGAAGGCAGCACACGGCGCCGGGCGCCCATGACGGGTGCGGCCGCGCTCTCGACGCCGGCGGGCCCGGCCTCCCGCGGCTTCGCACACCGGGATGCTCCACGCACGGGGCCGGCTGCGCTTCCCCTCAGCAGCGGGGGAACCAGCGGGGCGAGTCACGCCACAGCAGGCGGCCAGGGGCGAGCCCCGCGCGGCCGCGGCAGCCGCCGTGCCCGGGGGCGCCGAGGCTCGCGTGGCAGCGCGCTGGGCAGAGCCCGCTCCGCAGCCGCCTCGCAGCCTCCGGCCCAGCCGGAGCGCGGGGGGTCGGAGGCGGCCATTTCAGGGGGGCTGGTGGCCGCCGAGTGTCGGGGCACGAAGCGGGGGGCCGCCATGACGCCGCCTCAGCCCGCCGCGAAATGGCGGCGGTCGCGCGGAGCCTTACCAAGAACTGCAGCATGGCGCCTGCCTGCTTCCCTGCCGGCCTCACGGGGAAGGCGGGCGGCGGCGGCAGCGGCTCCTCTTCCGGATCCCGGTCCGCCCTCGCGGCCGCGGCGCTGGATGGCAGGCGGCCAGGACGGCCCTCCCTTAGCGCCGCCCGCCCAAGGCAGCCGGGCGGTGCCGCTGCCGCCGCTGCCTGCGGAGGCTGTTAGCGAAGGGCTGTGGTCGGGGAGGGAGCTGAATAAATAAATAAATAAATAATAATGAAAATGGATGTGAAAGGCCTGCGTGTATAGCAGCATAGCTGGGAGAGCCATGGAGATGATCCTCTGCCTGTCTGCAGCACCCACTAGACTGTGTCTAGCACATGGCGCCCAGTCTTGGCCTCACAGCATGGGAAGGAGCAGGACAAAGCAGAACAGGCACAGCTGAGGACCATGGACAAGGTGGGAGCTGGAGCAGCTTCCCTCTGGAGCAAGGAGAGGCTGGGGAAGAGGCAGTTGCAGGGGCACCCATATCATAGAATCATTATGGATGGAAAAGACCTTCAAGATCATCGAGTCCAACTGTAAACCCATGATCACCATGTCCCTGATGCCTGCTAAGTGATGTCCCTAACAGCCTCCTCATCTACAAGTTTCTTGAACAGCGACATGGGTGGTGACTTGACCACCTCCCTGGGCAGCCTGTTCCAAGGCTTCACCTCTATTGCTATATAGAAATTATTCCTAAAGTCTAATTTGAACCTCCCCTGGCGCAACTTGAGGCCATCTCCTCTTGTCCTATTTTTGGTAGTTATTCTGGAGAAGAGATCGACCCCTGCCTCACTGCAACCTCATTTCAGGTAGTTGTAGAGAGCGATAAGGTCTCCCCTGAGCGTCTTCCAGACCAAATAATCCCAGTTCCCCCAGCCCCTTCATCAGCTTCTTTGCCCTTTGGACACACTCCAGCACCTCCATGTCCTTCTTGTAGTGAAAGTCCCAAAACTGAGCACAGTATTTGAGATGCGGCCTCACCAAAGCCAAGTACAGGGGGAGTACCCTACCTGTAAGCATATAGCCAGCCCCACACAACTGCGTACTGTGGGAGGGTGAGAGACAATGGGCAGGAGTCAAAACAAGAAAGCAAGAGCGGTTCTGGGTGGATATAAGGACAAGCTTTCACTAGACCTTCAAGCAATGTCACAGGTTGCCCAGAGAGTTTAGAACTCTTGGAGGTTTTCAAATGCAGCTATGTAAAACTCTAGGGAGTGATCTGAGCTGACCCTGCCTGAAAAAGGATGTTGGACCAGTGATGTCCTGTCCAACCCAAATTACCCAATGATCCTACAACAGCTTTTAATGAGCCCAAATTACCCAATGATCCTATGACAGCTTTTAATGAGCCCATCTTCCTTTTTTTTTTTTTTTTTTTTTTTTTTTTTTTTTTTAATCAATGCAATTAAGAAAAATGAAGAGCAGCTGTCCTTTATGACTGAGTTTAATTTCTTGTAATGACTGCACTCAATTAAGAGATTTCGGTATCAGTTAGAGACATTAATTGTTCCTGTTGCAAGTCAATAAAGTCTCCCCGCTCTTGCAATATTTTAGGGATTTTCACATCCCTTTTCAAGATGAAAAAAAGCCATGGCTGTTATGGACTTTCAAGCAACTCTATCCTGAGACCAAGTTTAACTCAAATGTGAGCATCAGTTCCTAGGTAGATTTAAAAACTCCATCGAATTGGAATATATACAGAAGGGGCTACTTGCCCCTCGCAGGGCTGCTTGGTGCTATAAAGGAAGATCTTGTATCCATCCTATGAAAGGGAATAGATGGAGATACTAAATGATTTTTTTTTTTTTTTTTTTTTTAAATGGTCATGGATACTGTAGCAAGGAGCTACTGTGGCAGAAGTAAAGAATAAGTTACCTGTTAGCACTCCTGACTACCAAAAAACTCTATACTGTTGTGATAAAGACACACAGGTAAAAGAGTTTGAACAACTTTCAGTGCTTGCAAAACAAAAAGAAAAATCAGTTGCAGAACAGCTGTAGAAGAAAACCAAGGAGTGTAATGTGCTAGCTGATCATTTGTTTGAAAGCAAGAAACAGATACAACAGTAGCATGAACAAGTGCAATCATTCCTTGTTCAGCTGAAGGATATTAGAGGTAAAGAAATAAAGAAGAAATGTCAAATAATAAGTTATCTGAATGTGGTACCCTAATGCAAGAGCCCAGCCATAGTGAGGAAAAGAATTTATTACTGGAGAAACAAATTTGAAGTATAACTTTGGATTTTGAAGCTAAGAGCAGATCTCTAGAAGAAAAAAATCCTTGAGAATGATTCATTATGTAAGGAAAAGGAAGAGAGTAAACTTTGTATTTTAGAGTTGCAGGATGAAATTAAAAATCTGAAAAAGTGGAAGAAAGCACAGGGTTAAAAAATCAGTTACTGAGCAAAGAAATAGATGTGCTCAAGCAGGAAAAAGAAGACCTTTCATGTCTATTGAGTGAAAAGTCACATGAATGTGATGTTCTTCAGTCTTAGCTGGTACAGCACCAGTCAGAAATTATTTCTACTTTTTTCCTGCTGGAGCAGGGGGGTTGGACCAGATGATCTCTAGAGGTCCCTTCCAACCTCAGCCATTCTGTGATTCTGTGAGCTGGAAGCAGAACTGCGTTCTCCTACATTTTGGACTGGCACTGTTCTTCTTTGCCTCCCCGAGCCAAACCTAACATTTGAAGTGGCAGACAGAGCTCATTGATATGGCACAAGAGACAGGGTTGGGATTTCCTACTTTTCTATAAAGCATTTCTTGCCTACCTTCTAGAACGGTGCTCCCCAAAACATTAAAAACTACTTGATTCAGGAAACAGATGGAATCATGTGATAATGAATATTTTCTTATTGCTGGGGTCTTCTATATATGTATACAAGATCAGAGGCCTGAGGAAATTCTGGATTCTAGCCTAAGTATTTGTCAGGAAACAGAAGAAGAAGACAGATTCCCTTTTAATAGCAATAATACCTTCACAGTATTGCCACCAGGAGACAGGATCTTCCTGTTTTCTGCTCAATAAAATATGTTCTTATTGCACTCAGACTATAATGAGCATCTTTTAGACAGCCCTGGCTCAACAGTGGTGCACACAGTTTTCCTGCATGCTGTGATTTTCCTCTGTGACATTTAATGAGCAGGCAAAAATCTTTTTTTTTTTTTTTTTTTTTTTTTTTTTTTTTTACTTATAAAATTAATCAATTGCATTTACATCAACTAATGTCAAATAATTTTGAGACTATGGAGAATGGGTATGATGGATATTGTATGTTATAGGAAGAAGCTCAGTCTGGTTTTAACAGTTATAAATGTGACTATGAGGAAGGAAAGGAAAGGAAAGGAAAGGAAAGGAAAGGAAAGGAAAGGAAAGGAAAGGAAAGGAAAGGAAAGGAAAGGAAAGGAAAGGAAAGGAAAGGANGGAAAGGAAAGGAAAGGAAAGGAAAGGAAAGGAAAGGAAAGGAAAGGAAAGGAAAGGAAAGGAAAGGAAAGGAAAGGAAAGGAAAGGAAAGGAAAATAGAGAAAAGGAAGGAAGGAAGGGAGGGAGGAAGGGAGGGAGGGAGGGAGGGAGGGACAAGGACAAACCTTCCCTTTTTTGCGCTTCCCCAAATTTGCCTTTACCTCTGACTAGAGAGTTGTGAACAGACAGTACTCATTGCAATCTTGGCACTGACTGTAACTTGGAGAGAGCATGTTTGTTTAATCTTGGAGAAGAGAAGGAATCAGGAGACAGGTAAGACCATTTCCCCAACATCACGGATGGTATTTTGGTCAACTTTCCCATACGGGTGGTAGGTGCCCATCATGTTGTGTGACACTAGTGTTGTCTGCCCTGCTCACTGATGGGTTGGTTACATGGCCTCCTGTGCATTTGTTTCTCATGTTTCATTCCCTACCTCTCCAGGCAGAGGATGACACAAGTCACAGCCCTTCTCAGGCTTAAGGCTGTCTCAGTCATCCTGCTTCTTTTAGGTGGCTGTTGTAGAGATTTTCCTGGAGATGACTCTTGTAGCTGCCAGCAGTTTCCATAGATACTGGTAATAGTGATGTGCAGGATTAGGAGGGCATGAGGAGCAGCAGTCAGTATAGAGGTACACTGAGCTGCTGTGATACATATGGGACTCCATACAGCCGACTACTGCAGGGAAATGGGGAGTCACCGAGACCTATAGAATCACAGAATGCTTAAGGTTGGAAGGGACCTCAGAGGTCATCTAGTCCAACCCCCCTGCTCATGCAGGGACACACAGAGCACGTGGCACAGGGCTGCATCCAAGCGGGTTTTAAAGGTCTCCAAAGAAGGAGACTCCACAACCTCTCTGGGCAGCCTGTGCCAGGGCTCTGGCACCCTCACAGTGAAGAAATGTTTCCTTAAGTTCCTGTGGAACTTTTGGTGCTTCAGCTTGTGGCTGTGTCATCTAGAGTTGATTTGCAGTATCTTCTATCTCCTTCTACCTGAGGTATGTAGGTACATGTACATGTACCTACATGTACATACATTATATGAAAGGGAGTCTTATATGTAGGAAAATAGTTGGCCCACATCCATAAGCGGCAGTATCTGCAATGTAAATAAGCGTGTGAGAGTCATGGAGCAGAAGTGAGATCCTGGGAACTATTGCAGGTGTTCAAAAAAAAAAAAAAAAAAAAAAAAACTGAAATGCTGAATTTTGAGTGAGTTCTTGAATCAGTTGCAGACAAGACGGGCTGACAGCCTGATAGCTTTGTATAATACATGAGCACAGACGAAGTATAATGACCACAGTAATACCCATAGATATAGTGAGCAATATCTGACTTTTAGAAAAGCCCCTTGCAAATGAGAAACATGAGGAGCAAACTGCTTAAAATGAGAAGGTTGGAAAAGCCATCTTTTAAAGTGAGATGCACAGAAATGTATCATTTAAAATACATCTGCTGCTGGATAAGACATTCTCATTGTTATCTACTTTACTCAGGTGCTCTATGGGTATAGTTTAGTGCACAAGAGACCCAGAAATCTTGTTTGTCGGGACGTACTGGCTACTGT